CTGCAGCCTATCATGTCATTTGGAGATGCCTCTGTGATATATATCTTATCCTCTGTGATATGGATCCTGAGCAGATAACTCAAGAAAATAATAATTTAATCCAATTCTTACGATCTTAATTATAAGCTTTTCTGTAAGTATAAATTTTGCCTACACTATGCCGATACGATTGTATGCCGATACCTATTCTGAATGGTGTCCGTTCTACGCCATATCGCTGATACGCTGCTGACTCTGCGCGGAATTGCATGTCTTTGACGAATCTATGCAATTGAGAAATGAGCATTAATACTATTATAATCCTTTATACGACGTTAACATAATTTCGTTTTCATAGTGTCGATCGAATAACGGTAACTAATTTCGGTCGTGTTACTGTGTCGATTCTATGATGTATCAAATTTATGCAGTTTCGATCCTATGAAAGTAAACCTCCGATATCACCTAAGCTGGCGCCAAAGTTGATACAAGAAGGGCAGAATTTAGGGGCTGCAAAATTATCGTCCATTAGTTTCCGAGACATGATCATGTCTATAGATTTAGAATTTAAGAAGAAAGCGACCGGCAGAAGAAGTTGCAGAGTTTGCACCAGACAGAGAAAAGACTAACCATATCACCAAAAGCAGTTCTGTTGGTGGCCGTACCGGAAGAGATTATACAACTTGTTTGGAAAGATTAGGGGATGTTCATACGATGGTCTAGCCATCATTATTGTCATAATCATAAGGCGCAAAAGTCATTAACTCTGTTCACACACGTAGAATAGAGTTTAAACCTTACCCAATCAGGAGAGCAAAAGTTGGGCACACGGACTGAATTTTGGACTTTCTTGAAACTTCTCACATTCACAAAGATTCATCTTGTTCAGTTAATGAGGCATCCAGTCCAATCCTTCTTATCTTTTAAAGTTATATTAACTTAATTTTCCAATTTTCGTTACTATTTCTACCGAAAGATGGCGCTACTTTCTCGTTCAATTTACTCCTTTAAGATAAAAATACCACATTGGCTTCCTTCGGTGCAGATTTCTTTGCATTTGATGAAGAGGGACCCTCGAAATCGATAGAGTCTTGACTAAATCTACGCTGAGCACGAGATTCTTGATTTGCCCAAAAATGTTACAAGAAAATGTTAGAATAATTAATTAATTTTAATTATATAATAAGGAAAGAATTTACTTATTTTTTACCGTGTGCCTTGGTGGCACGTCCGCCTAATAGTCGGAGGTCCAGAGTTCGAGTCCTCGTTAATTTTATGTTTCATGCTCAGAATTCTAATGGCTCTACTACACTACTTTGATTTATTAAGTTTCAGTAGTTACAGTATGTCATCTTACAGTTTAAAAAAGCTGCAAGATAAGGCTGTAGCTCAGAAGACTTATTTGCACTAAATAATAATAACTGAAAATTCTTTTTAATTCAAAGTTCTGTAATTTAAGGTAAGTTAATATTTTTAAAAGTTATAAATATATGATATGGCAATGTGTTTACGCGCGCGCTATCTATGAACTGATCCTATAACTAGAAATTGTTTACTGTAAAAAAAAAAAAAAAAAAAAAAAAAAAAAAATATGATTCCATCAGGAAAATAGCTTCAATTCGTAATATTTGACATAATGAATTAAAATATTTATTATAAATTTAGAACAGTCGCAGTTTCGACTTACAAAAGACGATAAAATAGAGTGGATAACAGGATTTACATCATGCCGCCCAGATGGTATTGTGGTTAGGAGAGCCGACTATGATACCGAAGCACCCGGGTTCGAATCCCGGAGAAAGCGTGGTTATAACTGTCCGTCCCTTCATGGGAGGCAACGGTAGCCGCCTATTAAGTGCCTTTCCAATAAAATGGCCACCCCATCCTGCCTTAGAAACGGCCAATGTCGAAAAAAGATAAAATAGTGCCTGCTGTTTGGGGGGGGGAGAAGATTTAGATAATGCTTGTAACTTTCAAAACAACTTACGGTTATTAGCGCTGATGGTAAATTTTCAAAATTATTTTTATCCCTTATGTGCAATACATTAAGCCTTGAAGTATCTTAATTCGTCATGCTATACTACCATTCACTATGAGAGTTGACCAATAGTCAAAGAATTCAGACTTCCAAAACTTTTTGCAGATTGTTTTCTGTATTCGATTTCAGTGGTGGGCTTATCTGTACAAGACTTAGCGTTGTGTTTTATGGAGTCAATGAAATGCACTGAATGCAATGAAACGCGCATTAAGCACTGCTTAATTGATGGCGGTTATTATCAACATTCGGATACAGCTATCGAATGGCTGAAGTTCCACCCGTTTGCATATGAGAAAGATGGAAAATATACTGCTTGTGATCAACTATTTAATTAATATAATCAAAATATTAGAGAGTAAATTTTAAGCTGAACGAATCACCAAATAAGTGCAAAGCAGATTATAAAAATTGCCAAACGATAGAAAAATGTCACCAACTAAAACGTTGTCTCCAAACAGCTTGGTTTCGATTTTGGTCAACCGTAAGCAAAGAATCTCTAAGGAAAAGAATGAAAGCTTCCATAGACGCAATGTAAACCTGTTTCGCCTCTGCGCCACGAGGAGCCACGACTATGCAGTGAATCGAGGAGCCACGGCTATCGGAATCGAGGAGCCATATCGAGGAGCCACGGCTATGCAGTGAAACAGCAGCGCAGGGTGGAATTTAAATAGCGCAGTCCGAGGAGATAGTAATTTTTTTTACTTTGAAATTCCTCAAAATGTTTTATTTTCATACATTTCAGATAAATTGTGTAGCTGATCTTCTATCTTCTAATCTTTAATCGTCTAGATGTTTCGCATAGAACATCCTAAAATTCAATTGCAAAATAAATGAAAAAAGAATGAATAAATAAATAAATTTTTATTATTTTTATATTCCTTATTTTTTCCCCTTAACCCTTCCTTCTGTAAACTCACATAATTATTATTCTTTTGATATAATATCTGGCATTAATTTATAACTAACATCAGAATTAATAGAAAACAAAATTAACTACTGCCGTGATGCTAGATTTCTAACAAATCTGCAATTAATTACATAAATAACGCTATTTTTTTAAAAATAGCGTTATTTATGTAATTAATTGCATAAAAATGTAAATCTTTTCATATCAAGCATATTATTAAATATTAAAACAAAGAATAACACATTTGAGGTAAAAAAATGATTTTTATTGACATTTCTCAAGTTTCAGAATATACATATGCAAAATAATTTTAAGCATCTTCACAAATACCAAGAAATTTTTTAGACAATTATTTGAAATGATCATTATGAAAACAATGAGCAAGAACCAAAAGCATTTCACTTAAATTAACAAATACAAAATTACACTTAAAAGGCCTTTTAAAGAATTTCACATAAATTATTAAAATAAGTGATTTCATTATTTTTTCCTAAAATATTCAATACTTCTTACATTTATTAATATGAGATTAAATACCGAACTTGAAAATCAAACCTTCCAGGTGTTATTAAAACCTGGGAAGAAATTTTATAAATAATCCACTGAATCAAATAAATATTGTTGCAGCTCATCCTGATGAAGATTATTTCAAATTATGAAATTAGAAATTGATTTTTTTAAATAGCAGTTACAAAAATGACTATTTTCCATCTTCAATTTACATATAACAATTCTAAAAATGCTGTAGCTTGGATTTTACTTAATTTTAATTTTGCAAAATTCGACCAATGAGTACATTTAATTCTGTAAGCTTAAAAAAGAAAAAACACATACCATACAATTCATAATAAATTTTTATAACTCCATATTTAAAATTTTACAAGCAAAATTTGCATAATATCTAACTGAAACAAAAAATAATTAAAAACAATTACAAGTACCCCTAAATAAATTGAAAACACTGAATTCATTATAATTATCTGACCTCAACTTAAAAAAAAAAAAAAAAAAATTATTATTTGGAATGACCATTATGAAAACCAAGAGTCAAAAGCATTTCACTTAAATTGACAAATACAAGATTACATTTAAAAAGTCTTATTAAAGTTGCACAAAAATTATTAAAATAACTAATTTCATTCTTTTGGTTCATAAAATATTCAATACTTCTCACATTTATTAATATAAGATTAAATACTTAACTTGAAAATCAAACCTATAGGTATTAAGAAGTTTTGTAAATAATGCAATGAATCAAATAAATATTGTTGCAGCTCATCCTGATGAAGATTATTTCAAATTATGAAATTAGAACTTAATTCTTTTAAGTAGCAATTACAAAAAATGCCTTCTTTCCACCTTCACTATACATATAATAATTCTAAAAATGCTGTATGCTTGGATTTTACATAATTTTAATTTTGCCAAAAATCTCTTTAATCCAGAATTATTCCACCAATGAGTACATTTAATTCTGTAAGCTTAAAAAAGAAAAAAAAAACACATATCATACGATACATAATGAATTTTTATGAATCCATATTTAAAATTTTACAAGCAAAATTTGCATATAACAAACTGAAACAGAAAACAAAATTAAAGAACAATTAAAAGCACCTCTAAATAAATTGAAAACACTGAAATACATTATCAATATCTGACCACAATTAAAAAAATTAACATAAAAACCAATACATAATAAATATAACCCAAAAGTAATTACTAAACATAATAAAAATATAAACAAGAAATTTTTCAGAAATTTAAAACAATCTGTGAGATCTTTTCCGAAGCTTAAAATTTTAGTAACAGTCAATATTTCGACTAATAACCGTCAATTTTGTTGCACAGCATTCTTTGAGCATAACATGACAGGCGATCCAAACCATCAATTTTGTTGCACAGTATTCTTTGAGCATAACATGACAGGTAATCCACTATTATTGATGAGTTATTTCTTAGATGGTGCTATTGTTAAGCATATTGAAATAATAACAGTAAACACTGTAGATACCTGTTTGTTGGCACTGCACAGGACTGTAAATATCGCATCTTTGGTGAACAGTAATCGTGATCTTTGAAGTGCGACGAACATATTTGTGCAGTTTTATACAAATCAGTAGGTGATTTATTTAACAAGTCTTGATTACTGTATGCGGCAGCCCATTGTTTTGATCTATAAAAATGAAAAACATTAATTTTATATTTTAAATTTCAATAAATCCATTTTCAGTGTTAGTAGAAAAATAGCAAACTAAAAACATTCCTTATACATTAGTTACACAATCTCGAGAAGGGTTATATATTTTTTAAGAACAAACATTAAATTATAATTTAAGGAAAAATTCATGTACATAATATGATTTATTACATTTCTGACATATTTATACTAATTCTCTATTATTTTGATCTATGAAAACAAAAAACAATTTTATTAAAGAAAATTTTATTTTCTTTAATTAAAAGAACCTCTTTTCAGTGTTATTAGAAATTTAAACCTTGTTAAAAAATTCCTTTTACATTAGTAACAAATTCTGAAACGATTTCATTTCATCTAATTTTATTTTGATGTACGAAAACCAATAATTTTGCAGATATTGTGTTAAATTGTAGTTACCGGTCATGGTATCTAGTTAAACAATTTAGCATTTCTTTGTACAGTTTTGTAAGGATAAGGCAGCAATAAAAAGTACACATTGTTCGTAAAGTGCATCTTTAAAATGTTTCCTTCCTTATTCACACCAATATGTAGTGGTTCCCTAAAGTGTTCGTACACTTATGAGTTTCAGTGAAATAGTGCTGTGAGAATTTTTTAATATCTATAAATTTATCTTAGCAAAACTCTATAAAAGTATTATAAGAATACAGTAAAACTTTTGGGGGGAATTAATAATTAAAAAGTAACAAAAAAGTTACCTCACAAAAATCTTCGTGCACTTTAAAGAAATCTGCAGACACTATTACGAAATATTGCAGTTAAATTTCTGTCAGTTTTTGTAGGATATCCTGCAGCATTCAAGCTTGTAATACATAAATTACAAAAATTATCTTCTAAAATATTAGAAAAAAATTTTTTTTTTAAAATTGGTTTTATTCAAAATCACTTCGAGATATGAGAAAATATTGGGCTTTATAATCAAATTCAATTCCGGGCTACAGCGCATTTTTTACAAATTCTTAAAGTGTATGAACACTTTTGGGAGCAACTGTATCACAAGCACAGTTATATCTTGGATATTTACAGAAGAACACTGAACTATTTGTCTATGATGAGGAACACTTAATGGAAAAAACAAGCTATTTATTTAAATTATTCCAAATACATGAAATATTTGCTTGCTCTATCAAAAATTGGAGATATATATATATATTAATATAATCAAAGCTTAGTTTCTTTTAAACTTAGAAATGATTTACCTAATAGGATCCTTAGGAAATCTGAAGAATTTCCTGTCTGGTGTTTTTCGAGACGTTGTCCCACAAACACAACAGCGATACCAGGATTTGGGTTGTTTGCTAAGTAAAAGATAGAGTGAGTTAGTCTGTTATTCACCACACCACATCAAATATTGAGAGAAATCAAAAATTATATTTTTATAATAATGAATATAAATTTTTCAAAAAATAATCATAAAATACGAAAAATTGTATATAACTATCAATATACTAAATTAAAAATAATCTTCAGTGGCCATTAATATTAAATAAGTTTATAAATTTTCTCAGATAAACTATTTGGTAATCTATAGCATAAATTTAAAGCTGAAGCATAATACAATTTATTAATAAAATTAATTTTTGCAATCATACATGCCATTAGCTGCCGCATAATTATAAATGGCAAATTTATTCCTGATCGCTCGTTTTGTCGTAATATTATTATTAGTTGGCTTTAAAGCTTAAAACTCATTTAAAAAATTTGGAAAGAAATACCAATATGCCTGCAAAAACTATAGTATTTGCTTGCCATATGATTAATTATATAAATTGAGATTCATATGCTAAAATGCAAAGTTAATATATTAAGAATGAAAATCTAGCTGCTGTGTTTTACAATGAGACAAAATATTTTTGGAGCTTGGAAATCAAAATTAATGTACTATACAAAATCAATTTTTGAAATCTATGATAGGTTTTCGAATTAAAAAAGCAAGCTTACCTCACAGAAAGAGAATCGGGTGAATTCCGGTGAGCGTCCTCTGAAAATATTCCTTCCAAACTAAGGTTGCTTTTTTTTTTTTTTTTTTTTTTTTTTTTTTTTTTTTGTTTGATTTTAAACTTTACATTGGCATGTTCTCTTCCAATACGGAATGTTTTATGAGTATTTAATTTAGGGGTAGAGAATGGGTCAAATAATTTCGGCAAACGTTTTGAACAGCTCATAAATGAAAGTTGATATAATCTTTTAGTTGGTGACATAAATGAACTTTTGCGTTAAAAGTTTTGTAAGTAAGTAATTCACAAATAATGTATTTTCGTGATTTAAATGCAACGAAAATACCTGTTTATACGCTTCTAGTTATATTTATGCTAAATTAAATTCCACTGCTATTTTGAAGGATTTTTTTTTCATCATTTAATGTTATTATTCATTTAATAGCAGTGGACAGGTGTGATATCACACTGAGCTGTGCCTACTGTATGTGTAAATTAATGTCTTATTTGCAAGATTCAGTCTTACGTACCGTTTCGTAACCATCAAGATTATTTTCTACTCTGCGATTAAGACAAGTGATAAAAGTGAGTGCTTTACTATTCGCCTTGGCTATTAACTTACTCAAGTGTTACATCAAAAGAAGAAACTAACACGATAATAAACCTCCATCTGCTGGGCCACTAATAATTATGCTTCGTGACTTCCTGTGAGGATGGTGAGAGATCAACGCCTTGCCTTGAAAAGATTCTAACTTTCCTTCCCTGTGTTGTCCCCTGAAACACACCCCAACCCCTTTAGCAGGAAGCGATGCTATTGTGATTTTGGCCCCCTGTCGAATCTGGTGCAGCAAGGACGGGATCTTGCTAAAAGTTAATAGGCAGAACTTGACAACAGCTGCTGTGATCACCGAACATCTGGCTTCAGCGAGTCTCAACGTGAGGCCAAATATCTGTTAGTCATGTCAAGGGAGTTAGTTGATTATTTCGGAAAAGTGGACAGAAGGAGGAAGTTTTAGTGGTACACCTGTACCATGGCATCGGCCCGTCAGCTGTTCGTTGGGATAATATAATCTGCATAATTGGTGATTAATGACTGCGGCACAGATGCATTGTTTGTAATTGCTGTGGGGTGCTAAGTCCAATGAGATCAACTGCAAGTTTATTATTATCGCACTTATTTTAATATCTCTCTCAACTCTTTCAGTCAGTCTGTTCGGAAAAGGTAGATTAGATATTGTAATCATTAAAACAGCTTTCTCATACATTTCGTGATTAGCTCATTCACATCATCAAAGTGCATTTGGATTATCTGCATTCGTTTATCGTAAGTTTGATGTGAATCTAGAAATTATTGAAGCAATGGATATTTCTCTGCTTTATTAAGAAACTTCTCTTAAAGGAAAAACTGATAAGTTTACTCTTATGGTGATTGCAGATAGTTTTAATCACATGCATATTTATTCATAAATGAGAAATTCTATTGTTCCTGTTGCTCTGTTTATAGCTGTTGTTGTTTTGCCAAGATTATTCATGTATTGACTGCTATTTCGTTTATATTATTAAAAGAAGAATTAAGAATAATAGTAAAATGAAGTTCGAAAATCACTGGATACAAATTTGAAAATACACGCTGATCGACCTTCTCCCTTTCGTCTTAGGATGAAATCTGAAAACTTCAGATTATAATCTAATGCTTCGAAGAATTCAGTACTCAAATAATTCAAAGTTTAAAGGGTAATAAAAAATTTTTTAAACAATAAGCTATAGTCATCAGATTAAAAAGCAGCGGAAATTTGGTATATAGGTATTATTTTCGCTTTTAAAACAATGTTAAGCTGAACAGTGACGATAAGCTAAAAAATTATGCGGTTCCCCCCCCCAGAAATTAAACATAATAGACTACAGAATGTAAAACCTAATATTTAGAATGCGTATTCAAAATGGAAAAGCCAAATGGTAGGGAAAAAATTGTTGTAATAATATTTCATGGTAACTTGACATCACGTGGAGATTTATACGTTTATTTAATGAAAAAGATTCAATTATATGCCTTTATTTCCCTGGATTACTTGTTTAGGAAACTTGGAACAAATATTTCCTTCAAGGAGCATTACTTTATATTTTGCCCAGATGCAGAGTCAATGAATCCCTCGCAGTGGAGTCATTTGAACTTTTGTCGCTCGGCGTGGTCTCTAAATTTGCCCCTCGTGTTGATTTACAAACAAACAGCTACCCCTTCCCCACCATAAAGATGTCCAAACAACATGTAAAGAAATAAAATTCTACGTTTAATATTGAAGAAAAGTTTTAATTCCATTATTTTAAAATTATACTACTTATTTTGCTATTTTTTTATTCGTAAATCCATCAGTGACATTATAGAGGTGTGTTTTGATTGCTCTTACAGTTTTAGAGAAAAAGATTTATTCGTAATTCTTAAATGATTTTTATTTAGAAAAGGCTTCTCACAACTAGCACCACTTACAACAACTGACAGGAAAGTTTACACTAATATCGCAATATTTTAACTTTGTTCTGAAGATCGTACTGAATAAACTGCAAAAATTCAAAAAAGATTGTCCTACCCCGTTCGTGTTCCGATTTCCCTAGCGATAACGGAAAAAAAAACTCTCAAATGCTTCTTTCTTAAGGAAAATTTCTGCATTATTAATATCAACCGTGAAAACAATTTAGTTAATATTTCTAATTTGCATTCAAAAGTTGAAAAGGTTTAAAAAAAGATATAATGAAAGTATGTAGATATTGAAACCATGTGTTAATTTCTTTAAGTACTTTATCTGGAGTAAAAACTCTTTTTCTTCTGAATTTAATTCCATACGGAAATTTAAAATCTAATTATTTTTCTCTTGCTTCGGGGGTTAACCTGACTAACTCTTATAAAAATGTTGTTTCAAGAAAAAAAAAAAAAAAAAAAAAAAAAAATGCCACCCCTAAATTGTGCCGCCCAAGGCAGGTTGCCCTTCCCTAGCTACGCCACTAATCTCTGGAAGATGTTTCATTAACGAATATCTTGCTACATCTGTTCGATCGCCAGTAATCTTATCATCAATTATCAGTATGTGGCCCGAAAATGTAAAGAAAAATGCATGAAATTAAAAAAAAAACATGACATGTAAATGTTAAAAAAAAAAAAAAAAAGTAAGTTTTTTTTTTTTTTTTTTTAAATATAAGTTTGAAGGGGCTTTGTTCCTGAAGGACTATTGTTTTCGTTTTGCGATTTTGATTTTTCGTTGGGTCACTATAAATGTCCGTTTCACTTTTCAAACTGTTGCGACCAAATGTTCAAGTCATGCATTGTATTTGAAGAAATTAAATAATGAAAAATCTGCATAAATGTATATATATTTCTGGCACTGTGATAAAACAACTGTATATAGAGCCATCGAATTTTGAATGATGTAATCGTACTGCGAATATGGCCATGTGGAAGCCAAAATTTGAAATTTGGAATTTTTTTTATTATCGATTTCATATTTTGTTAATTTTTAGCGAGCGTTTGATTAACAAACACAACGATTTAAAAGTGAGCTATGGCAAAACTCTTAGGGAAAAAAAAAAAACTTTTAATCTCCAGCGCACGGGGAACTGTGTATCTGAAATTCTAAAGATATGCTCAGTTTAAAATTATTTTGCGATATTGCTGTTGAACTGAATTTTATGGTTTAAGTGCAAAGAATATGATATTTAATAAATAAAGGTAACACACAAGACGTCAAAAAACGCCCCTTTAGACGTAATTTAAAATCTGAAAGTTTTCAGATTTTTTTTTTAAATCATGAGAAGCTTTTATTTTTATGTACATCGTATGACAGTAGTAATAAATTAAGTTCATAAAGAGAAAATTCGAAGTCAGGGATAACGTATCGAAGTACTGCCGGTAGCCTTCGAATTATTGTCCGTCGTTTGCAATATACAGGGTGGTCATTAAATTAAACTTCTGCGATATATGAACCCCTAGCGGCCTATCTGCTCGATCAATCGAAATGAAAAGTTCAGTATTGTTATTTGAAGGTATGCGATCTAGATTGTGATAATTTGATAGACAGACAAAGTAGACAGATATCTTGTTAGAACAATAGAGGCACTCTTATGATTACAGCTACAGTGAAAAAGATTCGAAATATTCCAGTGTCAACATCCACATTTTCCCTGCGCAAATTGAATGAATCAGTTTCTTTCTTTCTTTAATAAATGAAATTACTGAAATGAAAATCGTATTTAGCGCAAATTTATGCTCCAGCTTGATTTCACGTTTAAGAGTTGGTTAAAATATTTCAGGCGGAAATGTTGAACGATACAGTTTTAATCCTTACGTAGGTAAAGATGCGTGTTGTTTCTGAAGCGTCGGTGGTATGACGGTTAGCATACCTGCCGTCCAAGCAATTGAGCCGGGTTTAACTCCCGGTCGACGCAGTGATAATTGTTCTCCCTTTAAAAAAAATTTTTTTTTGTTACTTCCTTGTACGAAGTAAAAAGGAAGTATTGTAATCGCGAAAAGTTTCAGGCAGCATATTTCTACGAAAATATCCATTTTGACCGCTATCGAATGCAATTTAACGACGTTTTTGCGTGATATCTGTACGTAAGAACAGAATAAAAGACTCGTTTCCTCCAAAAAAAAAATTATAAAACTGTTTTAAAATTAATTCCGAAGAGAATTTTTCGTGGCGTCTGTACGAACGTACGTACGTATCTCGCATAACTCAAAAACGAGTAGCCTCAGAACGTTGAAATTTTGTATATAGGCCTGCTATAACATGTAGATGTGCACCTCGTATTTTGGTTGCAATCGGCCGCACCAAACGTATATAAATATATTTATATATATATATATCCACTCTGTTACCCGGCTCAGTAATCTCAGTTTCTTTACTCTTATATGTTTGTAAATTGTACATTTTTTGCTTTAAAAGTGATTGAATTATGTTGTTTTTATCTTCCGGTTAAGGTTTTTCTGCCTTTAGTAAACCTGTATGCAATATTTTTAGAATTATCAACAATTTTAAAGTTGTTT